GGCCTCTTCAAACGAAATGAAATGTACTTCAACATCAATCTATTAAGGGAGTCTTCGAAATCCAGTTTTTCCACATATAGGGTTCAATTAACAAATTTGATCTAAAATGACACCTTTCATAAAAGAACTATAGTTAACCTAGATTGCGTAAGATACTGGAGTACTGATAGTTGAAATTTTATGAAATGATATGAATAGCGATGAAATAATTTGGCGCATTTTGGGGAAATTTAACTATTTATCATTTATCATCTTAATCTACCTAGGCTCACTACAGTCCCTCTTTCAGATCTTCTGATACTAGTTAAACCTATTCATTATGAACAAACACCATTAATAATCTTTTAGAGGCTACCTATTCAAGAAAAGTTTTTTCAAGGGTCCCCCACAGTTTTGTACAATAAAACTCAGCGACTATGAATGGAGCCACACCATGCTTTGATGGTAGTGACTTCAACTCGAGTCTCTATCACCATTGAACCCTTTAATCAATAGGAAAAGTTTGCTAAAAGTGATTAATCACTTGGACTCATCGGAAAATGAAGGAAGCACATCGTTCTGTGCCTCAATTCCAAATGTACCAAATTTTTTCATGTTTTCTTTTAGTCGACATTGTCAGATTATGGAACAACGCTTAAAAAAAATCATCGATAACGAAGCCAGGAACGATGGTAAACTGCATTCATAACTATTTCTTATCCTAATTGATATCCTAATGTAATATTGCATGCTTTGTAGTTCACGTAGTTCATGCCTGAAGATGAATGAGTAGAAGTGCGAAGTGAATGCTGAAGTTATCAAATTACTTTTTCATACCTAAATTGCCCATGTTTCTATCCTGCCATGTCGACACGTATTCTGATTTGTGATTGAGCGTAGGTGATTTGTGTCTATTGTTTATAAGACAATTTAGATGTTTAGAGACATAACCAGACTCCAGGCTGGAAAATATAAAGAAGCTAAATGTTTGTTATGCATGCAACAGATATTAACTATCAGAAGGACAAATAAGGCGAAAAAGTATTGTATTAATTCTATCGTATTTATGCAAAACATATGAAACACAGAAAAGAGTATGATACCATCTGGTTTATTTCAAGAAGCAAATTGCTTCTAAGGATTTGTTCATCCTATGCCGCTTGGGGAGATATAAGGACAGATGATATAATTTCCCATAATAAATTGTTTTGGCATTGGGTTTTTAACTCGTCTGGGTCTCATCAGCACTTCTAACAGAGTAGTACACGTAGTGGCGACACATTAAGACAACGTCACAGAGCCACGGGTGGCAATGAGCCGCAGAGAAGATGCAACTCCAGGCAAGCCAGGCCTCACGTAACCAATTTAAGTGGGATTTCAGATGGAGAAGACTTTTATTTTATAGTACAGTTTACAGGGCAACTTTTCTTCGTAGTGGGTAGGTTTGGTTACTCAAATTCTTATTCAAGATTAACTGATAGCAACAGAAAATACTCACCAATAATAGAAGTTGCGTAGTCGACTGCTATAGCTAATGCAAGTATGATTAATAGATAATCTCACTATATATGTGAACTAGGAAGTGCCTGACTTTCCTGGGATGTTATATCTGTCCTGTGATCAACTGACCCTTGTGGCTATGTGGAAGAGTGGTAATATGTTGACATTTTAAGCTCACGATTAGATTTCAAATTACGTTGATCCCATGAGACAAAATGGAAACTTCAGTCTACTTGTATGGGAAAACATGTTTGTAGCTAAGGCTACGTCAAATTTAATGGAATAGTGATGGCTATTTATTTTATTGTGGTAAATTAGCCTACCGATCTTTACCTCCTTAGATTACCTAGAGTCTTCATTATTTATCCAGTGATTCTTATCTTCTCCCCAACAGTTAATGATGGTTCCCTCCCACTCTCATGCACTCATTTGCTCTATTTCTAGCTTTTTTGATTCCTCAAGCTTGGGTTTGACTAAAATCTCACCAAGCCTTGCATGGTCTTTGGCCCTAAAATCTTTTCAGGTAGTTTTGTGTCCCGCTAACCTTTTAATTATAGGTCAGCAAGCCTCTCACCCCAAGAAGCTAATACCTTTCAATTTACTAACCTTATTTATATGCATTTAGTTGGTGCGAAATTCTTTTTCTAATTAATTTCATTTCGAGTAGAAGTGTTGGGTGAAGAGATTCGAAGGTCGGTTCCACCAGAAGACGATGGCGAATTCCT